AATTTTGAGCTTGCGAATGCCTATGAATTTTCATTATAATTACAAGTTCTGAAAACATGAGGTTCGTCATTAATCTATGTGATAAGATGCGGTAGTTGAGTTATTTGCTTACGATTAGAGATTGCTTGAGGACAAGCAAAAGTTCAAGTTTGGGGGTGTGTTGAGTGTAGATTTTACACTCAATACGTTTACTTTACGTGGATCTTTTGTTTAGATTTAATTATATTTGTGCTTTAATTGATTGATTTTGTGTTTTATAGGTGAAAAACGAGAATTAGGTGTCAATGAAGGAAAAAATATCAAAAAGAAAGGAAAAAGTTACGAATAAGGAAACAAATCAAACTGGAAGAAGGAATCTCGCCACAGCTTTGACAGTGTCCACGATTTTGAGCATATCTCTCTCATACGGACTCCGAATTAGGTGATTTTGGCGGCATTGGAAAGATAATTTCAAGGGCTACAATTCTTATGTACAAAATATTCCAAAATTCGGACTCCAACATGGCGAAAATCGAAGAACAAGTCCTGATGGGGGAAAGTGGCGGAAATTGATTCCTATTAGGTTTCTACTACTTCCTTATCAAGAAAAGCCTATAAAAGCAACATGTCTCTACACCATAAGCACGAAATTTTACACCACAAAACACGAAGAACGAAGATCAACGAAGACTCAAGCATAGTTTTTCTTATTTATTTTATTTATTCTATTTTGCTTATCATAAGAATTACGAGTAGCTAAGTTTTTAATCTAGGATTTTGTTGGAACCCTATGTAGGGATTGCGAACCCTTTTTCTTGAGATTATGCAATTATGATTTTATGATTATTTCTTCTACTAGTTATGATTGTTAGTGCATGAACTTGATCAATTTATGTGCTTTATCTGTGATTATTGGGATTGACTCGACAGAGCTATTTTGATAATTAGACGGTAAGTAGAAGAACCTTCGAGTAGTTTTCACCGGATGAGTGTGTCAATTGCATGTGGTGTCGTAGACATACAGATATCACCTTAGGTAGCCATTTACGAGACTTGTTAGTTAATGCTTTGATCATAATTGGTTTGCATAGACATATAGTGAATCGCTTATGAATAATAGACTCATAATACACGCGACAGCGGGTTATGAGTAAATTAGTGTCTCGGGTTAATAATCATGAATCATATATTGCATAATTGAGGGGTTTCGGGTGAGCAATTCTTGCATAGGGGGAAGATAAAATCCTAGATCCGTTTTATATTGATATTTTCTCGTGTTTAACTGTTTTCTTAATTAGTTTCTTTTATTTAGTTAATTAAATTGACAACCCTGCGTAGGCTGAATAAAAATCATAATTGTTAGGATTTGGTACTTAGGATTAGGTAATTTGCGTATTCCCTGTGGGATCGACATCCGACTCTCACGAGTCTACTTTACTGCTTGTTTGCGATACGTACACTTGCGTGTTGGTATTTAGCACCCAACACTCGTGTTATAGAATTTTCTCATAAATCCTTAAAGTAAAGAAATTGGCTGAGACTTTTGAAGGGATATAATATGTTAATAATGAATAAAGTTAAGTAATATATAAGAAACTTGATCCATGGCGACTTTTTTAAAATCCGTCAACGACGTGTGGATTGGCTGAGAGCGGAACTTTTTTGCATCCAAAATAGTTTTTTTCATTCTCTACCGCCATTCTTGATTGTTAAATCATTAAAATGCACCAGTAGAAAAATGTTTTTTTACTACGACCATTAATCATAGCAAAAGGTACCAAATTCGTAGTAATAAAGTTTTTAGTATGCATTTGCTACCAATTTGTCCCGTAGCATATACGGGCGTGACAAAAACTTTGCTACGGTAAATAGCCTAACAAATATTTTTTTTTGCTACGGTAATTCCTAGCATTTACTACTACTCCAAGATTGTCCCGTAGTAAAATGTACCTTTTGCTACCGGTTTTTACCATGGCAAAAAAAATTGTAGTAAAAAAAGTAATTTTTCTACTAGAACCCTCGTACGGCAATGTAACTTGAGATATAATATAGAAACACTAGTTAAATAAATATATTGAATATCCATGAACCATAGATAGCGTTACAAGTACAACGAGCAACCATAAATAATTGACGCTTCAATGAAGATATTTCAGACATGTTTCATGCTTGGAACACTATGGATGAACCACCAAAGTCTAGAATGCTGTCGTGTTTGTAAAAGCTTTTTCGAAAGAAAAAAAATTCAGTTTTTCTTTTTTATGTTTTTTTGGCTCGTTATTTATTTTTGAGTATTTGCAAATATAATTTTAATGGTGATTGTTGAGTTCTTTGAAAAATAAGCTACTTGAAGTTATAAAACATCTATACCACATGTTCTCTAGTTCAAAAGCACTTCTACAAGTAATGAAAAGTTACACTGAATAATTGTTCGCCTTACAAATCTTTGTGGTACTGATAATTACGAATACCATTGTTAGTGTTTACAACAAGCCATTTGTTTTAGGAGTATTTGTAATCATCAATACAACAAGGATTTGCAAGTTGTTTAACCCTACCTCATACAAGTACTTTTGTTGTAAAGATGTACCGAGAGTCGATAAGCAGAACCCAAATAGTTAAAGAGTTGGCGCAATCAATGTTTATTCGTGGTGAGGTAACCATACAAATTGACTAAAGGCATACGATTAAAATTCACGACTACACCTAAAACAAAATCACACTAGAGAATGAATATAAATAATCTGCATGCAATCAAGGAAGCAAAAATGATATAAATCAAAGTCTGTAATTGTATAAAACCATTAAACCAGTCAATACAACACTCATGTCAAAAAAAAATTTGATTTCATTTCCAAGAATGTCAACCCAAAAAAATCATAAACTTCTCAAAAACAAGCAACTCTATTCTTTTGCAAGGCCTAGGAATAAACTTTCCCAACTCTTACAATAGCACATCCAACATCTAACACAAGCGGGGCAAACGCCACCTTATTTTACCAATTGAGTTCACATCTTCTCTCTGACTCAATTTACATTATTAGGTAAACCAATCCCCAAACAATGTAATACTAATAAATTAAAAAAAAAAAAAAAAAAAAGTGTTCTATGAAGAAGTAAGATCAGAACTCCCCACGAGCAAATATCGCATGAAAAAAACAATAGACACGAAGAAACTCGAGCTAATGGTTTAAGTCATACGCCATCCATCTTTATTGTTTTCTGTCGTATTTGACGTCCCTTCATCTATCATGAAAGGTTACCCTATTATTTTTCTCAAAGATAAATCATCCATGCATAAGTTGAGAAGCGAAGAGAGGGAGGGAGAAACAAAAAAAGAGAGAAACAAAAGAGAGAGATTGTCATTAAGTGTATCCACTACGGAAGATGGATACACTTTCCGAACAAATTGATAGGCTTGTTTATCATCATAGATTGTGACGGTCTCACATTCTCAGACAACATAAGGCATCATGCATGCCTCTATGTGGCTGCCTTTTCACTCAGTGTAACACTGTTGGGAATCATTGAAGGCATATTCTGACTAGGAACATGCGTCATTATCCATCTATTCCAATCACCTTTGCGCCTCAATTTATCACCCTGCAGATCAGAACATGACATCAACTAATGAAAGTTTCTCATAGAAAATCTGTTGCAACGAGACGTAAATTTAATAAAACTCAAGTAGCAAACTCTAAAATGAATAAAGGTGGTTTAAAAAAAGGATACATAAAAACAGTTGTTGCATAGAGATTATCTTGCAGATTGTGCCTTTCTAAGCAATTTTATTAGGACTTATCCAGCCTCATAAGCGATTTAGATGCTATAGATATAAAATACATAAGTAAATGAAAGACTAGTTTAAAAATATATTTCACCTGAACTTCCACCACATTTGAAGCTTGTACAGCATCCAATATAAGCTGAATATTGTCGGTCAGCTGCATGACCTGTGAATATGAGAAAGGTAAATTGCGCTTCACTAAAACGAAATTCTATCAAACACGGAAATAAACATATGATGTTGCATACGCATTAAAAAACAATAGAGTCAATTTGTGTATTTATTTTATTGACAATCTAGTTACTGGTGTATGATATTGTAAAAGAATAAATATAGGTTATAGTTACATGGTAAAATTGCTTTTCAGGAGAGCACATGCTTTTATTATCTATTTTTTTTATAAACTTGTTGATTGAGTATAAATAAAATCATACATGTAATTATACCACTCCACTTCCTACTAGATGGTGGTGATTGATTCAACGATGGCTATCAAAAAGTTCTTGGAACATTCTATAACCTGGTGACAACTTCCTACATAGTTCTACAAAATCCATATCTTAAAATAGTCTACTTTGGGCTTCGTTTTTGCTAGTTGTCTAGATCAATTGCAACCTCTTTTGCCTTAATACCATAAAACTTCAAATTGTAACACATGGGCCTTCTTTTATATTTAAAGTTATTCATATTACTATATATTCTTTTCACAAGCGATTTATTAAATCAATTAAAATAACAATGTTTTAAAACAGTTTAAAAATTGATGCAAATTTTGGGTTTTGTGAAAAATTTAGATGATAGGAGAAATTTATATAATGTTAAAATATATTTATTTAGTTTTCAGTATTTTCTATAAAAAAAATTAATTACACTGCTATAATCAATTTAAATTTACACCGAAAGACAATCAAATTCTATGTGTATATTAGGAGATCGCAAATATGAAACATTGGTTTTTGCAAAGAGAATTGAAATTAAAATTGGATCTTGGGGGTCTACTTTTAGGTAGGAGCCTTAAGGGCCGCATGTGAGGGGACTTACTCTCAAGGCCAACCATGTACAGTTTTAAAGAAGAGAAAGGAAACAAAAAAAAGAAAAAGAAAAAGAAAAAAGTATGCCACAGAATTGGTTGTCGAACCAGTATCGTAATTGTGGGGGAATGAGTAATCAAAATAAAAAAATAATTTGATGAGAATGAAAATGAACACATAAACCTAATCAGCCAAAGAAAGAGTTAATTTGAAGATTTTCAAAGGTTTAAAACACAATTTGAGTTATTTATAGATAAAGAAATGAAATTGGTTGACAATGAAAATTTCGCTAGTGTTATTAGTAATTTTCCAGCTCATAAAGCAAGAAGAGTAATTTTCCTGAAAAAAGGTATTGTGTATTTCAATAGTCCAAGTAGTCGTAACTATATTATTGAAAAGTTCATGTCAAATTCCTACAACCAAACGCTATTATGCATTGAGGTTCTTCAAGGGAACCACTCCAGAACTCAATGCCCAGAGCGGACAAACATATTAATTTGAATTCTCATGCATTTATAAGCCTTAACAAATTCGATAAAATACAACTGATTAAATTATTAGTCCTAAGACCAGTATTTTATGATAGCCCAAGACTACTCATTTTATATAAAGTATTATCTAATTTTAAGGCCAAGGTACAAGGCCCTTTTTTTTCTTTTTTAATAGTATAAATCAAACCCTTGTAGTTATTCACAGAAAATCATAAAGTTCATGACATGTTTATCAGATTACATCAACTAAGAATCAGAAAATTTAAGAATCAAACAAGACATCAAAGATTAAAAATGCTAAGTTTGGGAGACTTACTTTCTTGAAGCCTGCTATTAGCTTAACTGAAACCCAACCCTCGTTGTCCATGTTTCGGCGCAAAAATGTGTCTTTTACCAAGTTCTCGTTACTGCAAGACATAAATGACAAACAAGATATCAGTGCCTTCATCTAACATGCACAAATCCATATAATGGAAGGTTTAATACCTAAAGTAATAATCTATCTGGTTCAATATCCTCGAAGGCAGTTGAGGATCGGGCATGTTAACATGCATTTGTGGAACTGGAACCATAGGCCTAAATGGATCTAAGTAAGTATGGGGAAGATAATACATTGGCGGTGATGGCATTTCTGCAAGTTGAACGAAAACATTAGTTGAAAGGAATATGCAGATCAAAGAATGAATTAGAAAAGACATTGAAAACTCACCTGTGTAAATCATGGGAGATATAAAGGGGCGCATAGGTGGGGGCGGAGGAGTAACGAGAGGTGCACTAGGAGCTGGTCCACGCGTGAAGGGCCTAGAAGCAACTCTTTGTTGAGGTGCATGGCTTTCTCTGTTGCCAAAACTTCGATTAGGATTGTCACGCCTTCCACCATGGCTATGATGGTAAGAACCATCTCCTCGTGGTTGTGGACCGTTATTATTTCTTCTAAAAGGATAAGACCTCTGCCCAACATCCCTATCTCTAGAAAATTCCCCAACACTGGACTTTCCTGAATTAGGAGAAGGCGCTTCAACCATAGCAACTTGCATAGGTGATACCTGAGATGAAGTATCATTAGCGGCCAATATACTTCCTTGGCTTGAACTGCCACCGCCACGCTTCATGGATTTCTGGCGTGCAGGGACCACATGGGTTGAAGTTAAATTTGGTGATGAGAGGCTCGTATTAACTTCTTTAGGCGAAGACGAAGAGCCTACGCCCAACTCCTGCAATATAATTAAATGTGCAAAACAAATTCAAACTTGAGGTCATAAACATATACAATACTAAAAAAATGATGCCATGAAATAACATATACTCGAGGCAATAAACATATAATACTAAAAATTGATGCCATGAAATAACATATACTCGAGGCAATAAACATATAATACTAAAAATTGATGCCATGAAAAAACATATACATAAACTGCTGCCAACTCCTAGAATATAACTAAGATTTGCAAAAAGAAAAATCAAACTCAAGGCCATAAACATATAACACTAAAAAATTGATGCCATGAAAAAATACAAACCTACTACTGCCAACTATAAAACTAAAAAATCGAGTGAAAAAACATCTGCCAACTTCTACAATATCACTAAAATTTGCAAACAAAATCAAACCCAAGGCCATAAACATATAATACACAAAATTGATGCCATGAAAAAACACACAGACCTAGTGCCAACTTCTATCATATAACTAAAAATTTGCAAAAAAACACAAATCAAACTCAAGGCCATAAACATATAATCTAAGAAATTGAACAAAAAAACATACACAACTACTGCTGCCAACTTCTACAATATAACTAAAATTTGCGAAAAAAATCAAACTCAAGGCAATAAACCATGAAAAAACACACACCTACTACCGCCAATTCCTATAGTGTAATTAAAATTTGCAAAAAAAGAAAAAAGAATCAAATTCAAAGCCATAAACATAAAACACTAAGAAAAATAATGCCATGAAAAAACATAGACAGCTAATGCTGCCAAATTCACTTCTTACAATAATTATAAAATTTGCAAAAATAATCCAAACTCGAGGCCATAAACATATAATACTCACATAAGGCATAACTCAAGCGAAACAAACTAAAAATATATGAAATGAAACCTGTGATAGAGGGATTGATCCAACGGAGAGAGCTTTAAGAGAATGTGCAGAGGAAGATTTAGGCGAAGCACGAGCAGCAGGCGGCTCGGAGAGAGACTCTCCGAGAGCAGGCCAAGACATGGCACCCATCACAACACCAACATCGGCAGCCGCTGTCGTCTCGTTAGAAGGTTTGTTCCAAACGGGCTTTTTGACTGCACCGGAATTATTCTCACTGTTGTCGAGCTGGGAGGCGGGACCACCGTCCTCAGCCGAAGAACTGGATGTACCCACAGCCATGGAAGGGAGATAAGAATCAGAAGATGCTGTAGTAGAAGAGGAAGTTAAAAATTGTTCCTGATCGACAACTCCTCCCGACAGCGAAATCGGAGGAGTGATTTCCGATGGAACCCCACGGGCCGCCGCCGAGGGCCGCCGCTGCTGGTGGCGGCTGCGAGGAGAATTCTGGGCTTGAATTGCAGAGGAGGGTGAGTTAGCCATTCAAAAATTAGGAATTAGGGCGGCTTCTTTTTTTTCTGATTTCGATTTTCTCTCTAAAAAAATTAGTATGAAAATAAAATAAAAAAGTTTAGAAATTTCAGATTACCCTAGAAAAAACTAGAAATAGAGATTTCGGATTGCCCTAAAAAAACTAGAAAAACAAAATTTAGAGATTTCAGATTTAAAAATTAGGGTTTTGCGATTAAAATTGGGGATTTCAGTGAAATTAAAATAGCTCAAAGGATCAAGCTTCGGTATTACAAAATTTGATGGGATTTGGAAACAAGAATTTTCAGGCGATTGATGGATTAAACCGATCAAAGAGAAATAAGAAAGAGAAAGAGAAGAAAACTTTGCGAAAGGAAAAAAATAAAAAAATGAAATCGACGAAGAGAACTTTCCAAAAATGTGGGGATCAGAATCCGATCGGAGCTCGAAAGAGAAGAAGAGACGGAGATGGAGGATTAGAGAGATTTTTATTCCCCCTCTCTCTCTGGTTTTCTTCCCCTTTATTCTTCTTCTTCTTCGTTCTTCTGCACACAAAAGAACCCCTCTCTCTCTCTTCTCTCTCTCTCTCTCTCTCTAAACTAGGTTTCTTTTCTTATACTTTGCTTAGCACGAGATATTACCCTAAACTTACCTTCTTTACATTCCTTCTTTTTTTCTTTTTCTTCTTTTTTTTTTTTTTCTTTTAACTATGTGGCCAAACACTATATTCCTATAGACACTTGACCACTTCAAAACACATTATTTAGTATTTTTGCATTACAAATATTTGTTCTCCATTCTACAAATTTAATACTTTTACTTATTTTATATTCTGAAATGCTATTTGCAGTGAGATTTTTATTGAAATTGGGTTATATCAGCAGTAGTCTCATTTCTCCTTTTTCTGACTTTCTAAAGAAATCGAAACTCTCTCAACTCCAAAAATTCGAAATCTTCGAATCTGAAGGTCGTTTGACAGAAGTAGAAAAAAAAAAGGAATTTCGCTTTTTGTGGAACGAAACCCCTAAAAAAATCGAAAAGGGAAGGGTTTCGTTCTACAAAAAACGAAACCTCAAAAAATTAAAGGTTTAGTCCTCCACATAACGAAAATCGGAAAATATTTGAAGGTTTAGTGCTCTAGAGCACGAGACCCGTATTTTTTTTTTAAGGTTTTGTGCTCTAGAGCACAAAACCCGTATTTTTCTATTGAAGGTTTCGTGCTCTACAGCACGAAACCCTCCAAAATTTTCTAGGTTTCGTGCTCTAGAGGCACTAAACCTTCAAAAAAATTATCGGTTTTGTGCTCTAGCGCACTAAACCTTCAAAAAAAAACTAGGGTTTCGTGCTCTAGAACATGAAACAACAACTATTTTTTTTTTGTTTTTGAAAAATCACTACTTCTAATCATAAACACACATTTTCAACTAAATTGTAAATGAAATTGATTGAAAGAACTAATATTAGAAAGAAAAAAAATACCATAATCGAGAGTCGTACGCTACGGATTGAAAGCCGAGATTTTTTCGAAGTTTGAATATGTTAAGAAAGTTTGGGAGAGTGAGAGGGAATTTCAAAAAAAAAAAATCAAATGAATGTGAACTCACTGCATTCAGTAAAACACCCGCTGCAAATAACCAGACCCTTTTATATTTGACCAAAATACAACTAAACGCACACTATCATTTAAAAATAAATTAATTAATTAATAAAAAAGAAAAAAAATGAGAAGGAAAACAATTCGAAGCAAACATGAAGAACAAACACTCCACCGCCGGTGGAGAAGCTGGTGTATGGCCAGACGAGGCCATGAACCCCTCAAATTTTGAATTTGTTCACAACTATATATGTATAAATAATTTATTACATTTATACTAAGCTCCTATAATTTTTAACAATTTAATTTTATATAAAAAAGTAAAATTAAGAATTTGTAATTGAGGAAAACATAGAAAAATAATAAATAAATCTACTCAAGTCCATCCTCAATTGTAAAAAAATCCACTAGATTGTATCTATATATTTATTTAGTCCGTCCAATTTTTATTATTTAATCCATCCAAAGTCCAAATAAATGCAAAAAAAAAATCATAAAAGATTTAATTTTCCTTTCTTATGATTTTGCCAAAAAAAATTCCTAATTTTTTTTAGGAACAATGCCACGAATCCTTAAAATTTAATTATTTTAGTGTATATTCCACCGCTCCAGTTTTTCATCGTTGTTCGTCTGCATTATTCCATAAGTGAGTGATATATATTAAAAATTTTGTTTTCAAAATTGAGATTATTGTTTTGTATGATATAAACAATGTGTTTCATGTTTAAACTTTAAATTGAAGAATGTCTGAATGTGTATGTTTTTTCACTTTATGGTGCAAACTGTGAAGTTAAAATTTTAATTTCCTTTCACTTTTCGGACATTTTCTTATCAAATTACTTGGAAAGTATATTTACTTGTATAAAAAGAAAGGCTACAAATATGGCCGCCAATTACAATAAAAGATCTATTAATAGAATAATTTAGGGCAATATTTTTTCGAAGATTTTCCTTTGTGTGTAAATATGGTTTGCGAATAATTTGGTAATTTTTTTACTTTTTAAAACTTTGTATCATCAAAATTAGGTTGAAGTGTTGATGAAAATAAAAACAACTCACAAAAAATTATGCTATGATTTTACTTGGTCTGAGAATGTAGAGTGTAATAATGCATTTTAAGCAAAAATCAGAGACGAGTCGTTGACTTGATCTTCTCCGAATTTGATTTGGATTTGAATAACGTCTTCCGAGGGTCTTGCGACTTGAATCTCGGATCGAACGCTGAACTTTGACGGATCGAACGCTGAACTTTGACGGATTTTGACTTGAAGATCTTGGAGTTCTTGATGGATTTGGCCCTTCAATCTTCCTTCGATCTTGATTTGATGTTAATAACGTTAATTCGAGGGTTTAGCACCGTAATCTCGAATTAAACGCTTTAACGCCTTGATTTGATGAAGAACACCTTCGATTTGATGAACTCCTTCGATTTGATGAAGAACGCCTTGAATTTGATGAAGAACGACTTGAATATTATAGAGAGAATTTTCTCCTACGGTTTTTCTTCTTCTTGAGTTGTGTCTTGAATTGTGTAGGGAGGGTCCCTATTTATAGTGGTAGAATAAGAGTCCTACTTAAAGTCTACTTGATGACGTGGCGCGATTTGATTGGCTCTCTTTAAATTGATATTTATCTCTTATAACTTGGAAGAGAAGAAACAATCCTATTGGCCAATAATTAATTGATAATTATCTCTATGACTTATTTTGCAAGATAAATTATAATCTTTGAATTCAATTTAATATAATTTAAATTATATTAAATTTACGTGTCTACAAATGCCCCCTCGAGACTTGTTCACGGACAATGCGTCTTGGAGTGAATGAGTCTCGATAATTGCTAAACTTCAATTGTAGCTTGATCTAGCAAAGCACATACATCTTTTGAAATCATGACTGAACTTAGAGAGATTCTAAGTTGCCTACGTACCCTATAGAGGGATCAAGTCATAACGTAGTTCAAAATATATCCTTTTGAGGGATGTCGTGCACAGTTTATACTCATGTGGACAAGGAGAAATATATGCAGTTTAAACTCATGCTGAAGGAGCATTTGACTTGAATTTGTAGATAGTTTACGCTCGTATCAAGGAGCCTTGACTTGATTTGGATATGTAGATAGTTTATGCTCGTATCAAGGAGCCTTGACTTGATTTGGATATGTAGATAGTTTATGCTCGTATCAAGGAGCCTTGACTTGATTTGGATATGTAGATAGTTTATGCTTGTATCAAGGAGCCTTGACCTGATTTGGATTTGTAGATAGTTCATGCTCGTATCAAGGAGCCTTGACTTGATTTGAATATATAGATAGTTTATGCTCGTATCAAGGAGCCTTGACTTGATTTGGATATATAGATAGTTTATGCTCGTATCAAGGAGTCTTGATTTGATTTGAACTTGTAGACATTTTAAACTCGTGTCAAGGAGTATTTTGAATATATAGATAGTTTATGCTCGTATCAAGGAGCCTTGACTTGATTTGGATATATAGATAG